AATCTTTCTGAATGTATAATATTAGGAGTGTTTTGGCTCATTATTTAGAAGTTTGATGATGTTTTTGTGACCAGAAATAATGCTGTCAGAACTTAACTCTTATTTATATCAGTTAGCTTTTGGTAAAATTGGGTTTGTTATATTTTGTTTCACTTCACACATAGTTTCTAAGGGCCTATAAATTAACTTAAGTGAGGACTTATCATATTATTAAATCAAAAAAGTCCAAACTCTGAAACACTTCTGGTCTCAAGAATTTCAGGTAAGTGATACTCAAGCTGTAAAACCAAAGCACAATACAGAATTGGAAACATGTAGCTATTTCTCTGCAGATGGCAAACAACCATGTAAGTTGTTAGATCTCTGGATGTGTTTTCATCTTCGTAGTTCTATATATAGTAACAGGAGACATTGCGGTCTTTATATCTTTGTTAGATTGTTGGCCAGCTTCCTTTTTCAGTGATTGAAGAATCTTATATGTCTATAGATTTTTGTTTTTTTAGATTTGTAGATTTTTTTCAGCAGGCCTCCTTTTGGCTATAAATTTGAAGCTTATATTTTTACATACGTTAACATCAGGATTTGAAAACAAAGATTTCATCTTGCCTAATCAAAACCAGAACTTATCTGTGATAGCAGACTGATTGAAACTTGCTTTTGTGGTACTATACAAGTACTTGATTGATGGTTGATATTTTTGTTCTTGTGTTTGACTGTTTTTCAACATCTTCTGAATAAGAATCACAGGTGGAATATATCTTTTCTTGCTAATTAGGCTAGGCACTGCTTCCTTCGTTGAGCCTTATATAAAAGACTCATTTATTTATCCAACTATGATACATGTCTCTCCCTAACCCGCTCAACACCCCCCCAAAGTAAAAAGATAAGCCAACATAGAGTGTTTTTATACCCCAGGATCCTCTAAAACTTTATCAGAAGAATAATCTTATTCTAACTATTCCATGTTCAAATAGTTCTACTCTATGAAGGGTAGAGCAACAATAATCTCTTGAGTAAATATTTTTATATTTGGCCATACCATGGCTCTCGACTATTTTGATCTTGAATTTATGCTTCCTGTTTAATTATGTTGCTGGTATTTATTTTTGCCCTGCTGAAAAATTTGATAGAGCCCCTGTGCTGTAATAATGACTAATAGGCAACAATAATAATCAATAAAAAATAGTAATGAATAATAAGCAGTGTTTTTAAATAATCTGTCTTTTAAAACATTGTTCTAGGTGGGCCAGAGTGACTCAGACCTGTAATTCCTAGCACTCTGGGAGGATGAGGCAGGTGGATTGCCTGAGCTAAGGAGTTTGAGACCACCCTGAGTAAAAACTAAAAATAGAGAAACTAGCTGGAAAAAAAAAAGAAAGAAAAACTAGCTGGGTATTGTAATGGGTGCTGTAGTCCCATATACTTGGTTGGCTGAGGCAAGGGGGATCGCTTGAGCCCAAGAGTTTGAGGTTGCTGTGAGCTAAGATGCCATAGCACTCTACCCAGGGCACAGAGTGAGACTCTTTCTCAAATAAATAAATAAGATATAGCATTGTTCCAATTTTATTTTAAGCTTTCTAAATTAGTATCTTCACATTTATGAATTTAACAGACTTTAAATGTTTTGCTTTTCTACCTATACTTTTTAACTACTTTCTGACTCTGGAAATTGAGCCCCCATAAACTGAAAGGATGAATCATTAGATACTGCTATTCCTTTGTGTTCTTAAAGATTAGGCTCTGCCCCAACAACAAAACAAGATTTCTTCCTTTTTTCCCTTTCTATAAGTCCTTTAAAAAAATCTCTGGAAATCTCAATTTGGCACTTCTTCAAATATAACCTGCTTCTTCATGGCCAGATGCAGTGGTTCACACCTGTAATCTCAGCACTTTGGGAAGCTGAGGTAGGATTGCTTGAGGCCAGAAGTTTGAGACCAGCCTGGGCAATATAGCAAGACCCTGTCTCTACCAAAAAAATTCTAAATTAGCCATGTGTGGTGGCTCAAGAGGTTGAGGTGTAAGGATCACTTGAGCTCCAGGAGTTTGAGAATGAGTTGAACTATGACAGAGCAAGACCCTGTCTCAAAAAAAAAAAAAAATAAAAGTAATCTGCTTCTGTAGCTGTCTTCTAATCTTTGCATAGATGGGGATATATAATGCAGTTACAGAGTTCTAGGTCATCAAATTGTTCTCATTACTTTATTGAATTCAGCTATTTTTAGTATAGATTGAGCATCCAAAAATCTCCAAATCTGAAATTTGGAATGCTCCAAAATCCAAAATTGCTTGAACATTGACATGAAGTAAAGGATATGCTGATCAAAACTGATTTTCAGATTAGAGATGCATAAGTATAATGCAAACATTCTAACATTAGAGATGCATAAGTATAATGAAAACATTCTAAAATCTGAAAAATATTAAAATCTGAAACACCTGGTCCCAAACATTTCCAATAAGGGATACTCAACCTTTGTAGAAGATAAACAAAAATAGGTTATTTCCCACATATTGGTGAAGTTTAAACCAAATAAGACATTGCTTTTAACATATTTGGAAGACTGTTACTATCTCAAAATACCAAATTGAAAATTCACAACAGAAACACTTCAGAAGATCTGAAAACTTACAGAGAGAATAAATGAGGAATGAGAAGCTTCGTCAGGGTCACCTGAGGATTCTATAATATGTAGAAAAGCTTGATTATTAGGGGTAGACCCGGTAAGTTAGCTTAATGTGCTACCACATTTATCTGTATTTGTTACAGGTTACTCTTAAAATAATTTGCCTTCTGTAATCTATACACACCTTGAAATTTTTCATAATCTCTGATATCTCAAAACCTCTCCTTAATAGCTTACCTGTTTAATTCTCAGAGGGTACCAACATTAAAACAGAGTTAAAAGTTCCTACTAATACTTAGAATAATAGCTATGTACAACTTTAGACAAGTTAAAATGAAAAAGTGCTTTGA